AGATTTCATCAAGAAATGATAAATTCCTAAACTATTGCAGTAACCTCAGAAATAGAGGGGAAGGAACTGATTCAAAAAGACAATGGAAGAGAAGACATGGATACATACAGTGATCTGGTCAGGTGGGAAGAAAGGGAAACAATGCCAAAGTGAGTCCCAGGTTTTTTAGTTGGACAACGGGTGAATCAGTGCCATGAAAATGAACACAGAGTGGGGAACAGGCATAGAGCAAAGACAAGAGTTTATATTTTCCTAAATTGAATCATATAGTTGATTGGGACACTGAAAATATCCTTTAGGGAACTGGATCTACATCTTGAGAGTTCAGGGAACAGGTTCAGACTGGGACAATCCCGACAATCCCAGCAGGAAGCTGGCAGTTTGGGTTAACAGCAGGAGGTGAAGTAGACAGAAAGCTTGGACAGCACAAAATTCTCGACACTTGGGGACAAACTGCTATACGTACTTAAAGTATTTCCTGTCTAACGCTTAAGACAACCAGACATGGTTTCGAAATTCCTGCTTTCACTCTTGTGTCCTACAATGCCATTCTCCAAGGAATAGGCCTGGTGATATTTTAAAGTGTAAATCACGTTGTATCATTTCTTGCTTCTCAGACTCCAATCCAAACTATTTGGCACAGAGCAATAAAGCTCTGCCTATTATGTGATCCCTATCTCTCTGAGAGGATCTCCTATCACAGGACTCCTGGAGTTAACACTGATCCTGCTCTGGTCCTCCCTCGGGCCCTGCTGCTCCCTGCCTGTCTGGAATGCTCTTTTCTGGGTCCTGCTGACTGGCTCCCTTTTACCACTCAAGCTTCTCTGCTGAAATGTTATTTCCTCAGAGACCTTCTTGACCAATCTAATGTATGTCCCCACCTCTACCATTCCCTGTTCTTAATCCCATTACCCTGTTATTGACTTTATAGCACTGACCATTATCTGAATTTATCTTATTTACTTATGTTACTAGCTCTTGTATTGGCAATGGTGATGTGCAAAGTTAATCTCTACATTTATTATTTCTTAAGAGAAACTGGAAAAGTGAGATACAATCACGTAGCTGAAGGTCTTGAATTCCCATTGAGGGGTTTTATTTGATTTGCTAGTTTTCCAGGAGCCAAAAAAATGTTTGAAGTAGGTCAGTGACCTTGTCAAGTGTTTTGAAATATTTGTTTGGTTAAGATGTTATAAAATGTAATCACTCCACAATACTCTGACCCTGTACTCACTTACTGAGACACTATTCACTTTAACTGGTTTAACTACATAGAAAATTTCTAAACTAAATAAAGGAACTGAATGACAAGAATATAAAAAGTCTAGGCATAGTATCTGAAATTAACTTGATGGCTTTGTAATAGAATTGTACGGTTCTACTTTATTACTAGTCTCCTCATTTCAATGTGGGAGCCATACAAAATCATTCCAGTGTGGGAGACATGTAATTTTAAAATTAGGACCAGACTGTACGAAGGCTGTCTTCTACACACTCAGTAACATAGTTCTGTCCATAACTTTACGTCAAACCACTGGTAGACCCAACTGCGGTATAACCAGACTTTGGCTAATGGGAGTGCTTTAAAAGGTGGGTTGTACTGAGCTCTTTCCATTAGATTGGAATGGAAAGATCTTTGGACCTTTCAGTTTAGTTTTACTAAAACTTCTAGAGTACTAGATTCAGATTTTGGGATACCTAAATGAGGCAGACACATTTCTTTCCTTTAAGGAGGATGAATTGTAATCATTTAGCTCTACGTATGCAGTAGTTACGTGAACTGCCTAATTTTGTACAGAGACCAACAGAGGTTATTTTTTCAGTGACTCCTTTTGTCCTTATATTTGCCACCCTATGAAATGTCTGTGTGGGTTTTTTTTTTCCTTCTCTGCTTTTTCAGGGAAAAATAATTTTCAACACAAGGTATGTATAAATATAAAGTTTATTTAGCATAGTGTTTAGAAAAATAAGTTCACATCATTTCAGAAACAAATAAACACTTAATTGTCCAGGCATAAACCCCTATTACAGTACAACATACATACTTTAGAGCTCTTTGGTTGGGTAATTAAGCACAGAAATGTTCTGGGACATGCTCTGTGTGCCATCACCTAACAGTGCAGTAAAGACTCTGTTACCCCATCCCATGACATATATTCTGTATAGATCTCCTCTGTGTAAGGCACAGTAAAACCATATTGAGTATATAACTGGTTGCCTCTAAACATACAGTACATGCAACTAAAGAATAAAATTTTTTGGAGAACCCTGAAAGCCAAGAGTCACATGCTATATAGTTTTGATTAATAAAATGTATGGTTGTAATATTAAATTAATGTGATGTATCAATTAGATACAAAATAAATGTTAGGCTCTAATCATCTAAGTTCTTGGAAGACTTTGAAACATCTTTATAAAATGTAATTCTTTCCCCCACAGTTTTCCTGAATTATTTCTATTTTTATGATGAGATGATCTGTCAAAAACATTTTAAAGAATGAAGAATTTCTGGCTATGTATTAATGCACACTTGTCTAACATGTAGCAGGGCAGGCTGCAATACATGCCCAATAATCCAACTTTTAACATGCAAGGTGTAAGGGCATATACAAGGAGATTTAAGGTCAGTGTGCAATTTAACTACAGATTTTTATCTATGGCTATAACGTCTATCTGCCTTTCATAACACAAGAAAGGCACTGAAACGTGTACAATTCAGTTTTTTCATTACTATAAATATACATGAAATATAGAGCAGTACAACATAGGTGCTCTTGCTTGATTGAGGAACAAATGCACCATCTCTTTAAACAATAGACTGTTCTTTGCTAGATGTCACTAAGAGCTAAATGCCAAATTCCGGCTGATAAGAGTGCATAGTTAGGCTCACACCAAAAATCCCACAGCCAGCCGCAGGGGTTGCAGGGGTTGCAGTTCCTAAGGAGAGTTGTTTACCCCTATTCTGATTCCTCTGTGGGGATCATTAGAGGGTCATTTGCAGCATCTTCAAGCATTGGTTTATGTAAAAGAGAAATTCTGCCACATGAACTCCAAGGGTTCTGAGTCTGGCCCTTGGTATTGCAAAGACATTTGCAATTCTGTGCATGGAGATCACGGGGTTTATCTTATTTCATTCACATATATATGAGCTACATACCAACTGGCCCGTATTTTACTGAAAGAATAGTAAAGAACAGTAAGTTCTTTATAATGTGCATTGATTCTTACCTGGTATATTGTGTAGCTACCTGGAGTAATTGTAGGGGTATAATTATACCACATTGGGAGTATGAATGAGTTTCCTAGGTAAGTCTTTAAGTTTTGTGCTATCTTTTCTTTCTCTTAAGGGAAAAAAGAGGAAGAACTGTGAATAAGAGGCTTATATATTTGGAAGAGAGAAAACTTTTCCAGCTATATATATCTATAACATATATAACTTTTAAAACCTTCCAACCTCCCTTATTGACTGGGTATTTTTAAATAATTAACAAACTTTTGATATCTGCAGCAATCAAGTGGAAAACATCATTTTCATGTAAACTACACCATGTAATTAATCTCAGTAACATGATCAGCACACACCCAAAGAAAAAAAACAAGCTGTATAAATAGTGGTGGAGTGGAAGAGAACTCTCAAAACACTTGGCTTTGTAAAAGAACAAAATTAAAAACATGTAGTTTCAGCAGTTTAGGAACACTCATCAATTCTATAAAAAAAATGGGATCTAAGTTCTTTATCAAAATGATAGAATTCTTCATAGGGCTCTTTGTCTATGACTGCAAGTTTTGTTTGCAAATAATGACAGAAGTTAAATCCTCTATGGCCCTTATTCACCATGTTCAGCACATAGAGATCTAGAGTGGACCCTTTGTTCTGATCTTAAAGAAAGCAAGATGTGGTGACATCTTTATGTTCAACAACTTTAAGTCATCTCTGAAGAGATCATTTTTCCACTTTTCTTGCTTTTCAGAGACCAGAGACTTTACTCACTACATAAAGGTATTTGCACTCTTACAACTTATGTTCAGAGTCCTGATAAAAATGTAACCACAGTTCATGACATCAAACAAGCTTCTTACAGAAACCCCAAAAGATGTACTTTTAAAGAAGACATGATATAGTGCAAACAACAGACATATGTCATAATGTAACAACTGATTCAAAACATTTAGAATTAAGTTTCAACAGGACAGAATTTTGCTCAATAGAATCTACATATTCTTTACTTTAAAATGGTTGTGTTCATAGCCTAGAAAATGTTTCTATATGGTAGTCTATAATTGTTATTTTCATTGTCATGAAAAGTATTAACAATAATTAGTTGTTCATCCACTTGCATCATAAACATTATACATAATAAAAGTAAAACTTAAGTTCTTCGGATTTAAAGCAATTCTGTGTGAAATTAACCCTGTTAGAATAGTAGAAAAGAGCCATCAGTGCTTCTGTTGACACTTCTGTACCTTAGTAAGAATAATAAAAAAGGCCACAAGGTAAAAAGGCACATAGAATTCTATATAAAACATATTTAAATGAATCAGAGAGCTGCTAAAGAACAAGGATGTGAAAAAAAGTACCAAAATTCCAATATTGGGAGTTGGATTTTCTGTTTCAGTGTTAATATTGACCTAAATAGACTCCTGATAAAAATCATTACTTTTAAAATCCTACAAAAAGTAAAACTTCGTTGGAAATAACTATGTTCACTTCCTGTTCAAACAATAAAAATAAATTAAACGGTAAGAAAACATTTTTCTTTTCAGTTCGTAGTGTCTGAAGTATAAGAGACATATACAGCATAAATAAAATTCACTGTACTCAAATCCTTGCTTATAGGACTAATATATTTACACTCATACCGAAATTTGTTTCATAGTTTTTAGTGGAGTTGCAAACTTTCTCAGCCACACAGAACTATTAGTAATCACATTTAGAAATGTGTAGAGAGAAACCAAGACTTTCACAAAAATGTTGAAAAACAGAAATGCATGTATTTAAAAATATAGCCTTAGAGTAGTGTCGAGTACCATTTATGCTACTTAACCTTATCAATGCCCATGGAGTAAAAGTAAACAAAAAGAATTGTATTGTTTCTAATGCTCTGTAGTGATATTTAATTTTGTTAGGTGCATACATTTTTAATTTAAAAAACTATCAAGTTCCATTTGACCTCAGAATTATATTAAGTCAACCAAATGATACACTTTGACTTGATATATTCCATCTTGTTCCTTTGTCTCCATCTGTTTAAAAGAGAACATATGTGAAGAAAAAGGCTGCAGTAACGCAGTTCTACTCCTGTATATTTAACTGTGATCTTCATGCAGATCAATGCAAAGTCTCTTGAATGCATTTATTTGCAAAACTAGTGTTTCCCTTTAAATGGGAAAATGCTTTATGTCCTCAGGGCTTTGTGAAAAGATTTGCTCACTGATGTCAGGAATAAAAAGGCAGGGTGGGGGGGAAGTTTATAAGTCTTGCATATCTTCATCCAACTGGACAGTTTGGAGCTTGGCAAGCTCTTTCTTGTCTGTTTCCAGGTCTTCACAGACTGTCTCAACCATGCCTTCTAGGACATACTTGGATTTGGAGTCCAGCATCATTAAGTTGCTTGTAGCTTTGCTCTCTGAATTTGTTAAGAAATTCTCTTTTATGTTGGCTACTGATTGTAGAACCAACCGATGTTCTCTGACAAAATCCTGGGGTACTGCTGGGGAGGGGTGACCTACCTGGTCTTCAGTTGCAGGAACTATTTCCCCAAGGGCAGCCTGGGTCATTGGGACGGACAATAGATCTTGACCAGTAATAAGGGAGCAGTTCTGAAGAGTTGCATAGTTAGTGTTGCTGACAGATGTCACAGTAGATTTGCTTGCCACAGGTGCAGACATTGGCTGGCTATCAGCAATGTCGGGGTTTAGTTCAGTGGGATGTAGTAGGGTAGGGGGATTCAGGGGAAAACTGTGAGTTGGAGATACATTAACTAATGAGGAGGTTAGTGGATGAAGGCCACTCCCGGAGATATTTTCAGAAGACAGGTTTGCATTTACTTGTGCATTCTGATTGACAGGCATCAACTGAGAAAATACTAGGCTCCTCTCCAAGCCCTCCTGTTTAACAGATCCTATAGTCTGGCCTGAATTAGGAACAGTGTATACCACTGCACTGGGAGCAAGAGAGCTCAAGAAAACCTTTCCTTGCTGGACTGTGGTAGACTCACTTGTAAATGTGCTCCCATCTGAAGTGCTTGAATTTACGGAAATATTACCTAAAAAAAAAAAAGAAAAAAAAGAAAAAAAAGGTACAGATTATCATTGATTAAACTGATAATGAAAGGAAATAATTACTTTTTTACACACATGATTTTTCTCATGTTCTGTAGAATTACCTTGAGCACTGACACCTAAAGATTCCTGGGCTCCACTGCTAAGAATCTGGCACAGTAAGTCCTAGAACAGGTGTATTTTTAACTCCCCTAGGAATTCTGTTGACCAAGTGGGAGTGAGAACTATGGGTTTAGAAACCAAGAGCGAAAAAAATTCTTTTCCAAGTTCTAATTTTTAGTCCAGTTTCTGTTTCATAAAGAATATTTACTATTTTCCATATAGACCCCAACTTATGTTTCAGTTAGTTGATAGTTACTGCTAAGCTCTGCCAGTCAGAACTAGAAAGCACAATAAAAATAAAATGCCTTGTTCAGGACTCACAGAAAATAATACCACATAAAATGACTTACCTTGGGGCTTAAAGTTAACCATATAAACCTGTACAGGCAAGTTGAAAACTATCGCCCAACTAACCATAAAGTAATGTCAAGTTAACAAAACATTCAGTAGGTTTTGTTTTTCTTTTCTTTTGCCAGTTGTGAATTTTCAGTGTTGTAGTGATAGGGAGAACTAATGATAATAATACAACATGCTTTAAAAAAAAATAGATTAATATAAAGAACTCGAGCTAATACTTCCCTAAAAGGTTTGAATCTTTTGAGGCTCTTGATATTACGATCTGCAGAGACCAAAAGTAGAAAAAGAAATATAGGTAGAAAGTGGAGAGGATGTTCAAATCAGGTAACTCAGACAATGTTGATGAATCAGATCCTCAACCCACTCCCATCATCAAATAAAACCCTTTTCTTTCTGAGCCTTTACATAATAGGCATAGTGAAATGAAAGCAATTATCTTGCCAACAAAGGAAAGGTGAACTTGAGAGAGTTTTGTGACAGAATAGTTTCGAAGGTCTGTTTACTCTGATCTTGAACTAGATGTTTGGTAAGCTCTGTTGAGAAAACTGCCCAAGAGTAAAGGGAATTCACCTATAACATATGTCTTCTTCAATTACTACAATAATTTGTGATTATATGGCCATCATATTGATAAATCAGTGTGAGGACTGTTTATGTATTCCTAACATTTTTAAGCATCCTAATGCAAAGCAATGTCTTTAACATGAACACATATACACTATTTGAACTTAAAAAAAAAATTAACCACTTGAAAGTATTCATCATGGAAATACTGGTGTTAAGAAAAAAACATTTCTATGTATATTTAGGCTCTTCTCTAACATAAATGTTTGTTCAAGGCCAAATGAATGAAAAAGGTTTTTATTTGAAAACATTTAACTTCAACTTAAGTATGCTTTAAAATTCCTGTTGGCTGCTAAACTGAAGCAAAAAACATCTGAAACAGATGTTTATTTTCTTTAGTGGTTGTAAAATTGTCTGTCAGTGCATATGTGAATAAAATAGTTATTTTTTGATAGAGCCATAAACAATAGATCTGACATTTTCCTCAACAGCTACTGAATATAAATAAAGTAATATTTCTGAATGTGGAGAAAGTATAACATATAAGTGAAGGGGGAAAAGAAGATGTGATGTAAAACTTGACACTTGAATATAACTACAATTAAATTATAAATTGAACAATAAATTTAAAAATCAGTTAAATCCAATTGAAACATGATACAGATGCAAAATATAACTTTGTAATGATGGTAAAATATGAAAAAACCCTTATTTTCTCAGGTTATAAAGTGAGAAAAAGATGTAGATACTCTGCTTTTCCATATAAATGCCAACTATAGTAACACTATCTATCTTGTCAAGGTATTTTAAAGAAATGCTCAAGTATCTCTCTTTGAGAAAGGCAGAACCCCCAAACTCTTTGTTAAGAACTGCACTACCAGCTACTATAAAGAAACATTGCTTCCCGGTCCCATCTGGTTAAACTTAAGCCTTCAAGTCACCCAGACAGTGTAAGGATTGACAGCTCTGTCATTTGAGCTTAGCTTTTTAAACTGAAAATGCTATTCATATTCATATTAAATGCCCCATTTTAAAAATTAGCCATTAGTTTGCAATAATTTTCTATGGCAGCACTTTTTTAGATTACATGTGGAAAGTATTTCTGCTTTTCTCTTCCCCCAATCTATATACCAGGCTTTTTGGTCAAATATATTCTCTAAAATGTTACATACTGTTTGGAAATTTCCTAGAGAGAGAAAAGAGATTAGATCCATAGTAAATTATTATAAAACTAAGCATTTTGGCTTTCCCTGTGATTTTTATATTTTTGTCCTATGTTGGATAGTGACTTAGCTTAATCCTTTCCATAACCTGGAACAATGAAAAAATAAATAGTATGCTACAGGACTGTTGCGTTTTTACTACCATTTTACCTAAAGAGAAACAAATGTACAGCATGAAATTTACTCCTTAAAAATTTTTCCATTAATGCCTCATGTAAACTGAAGTAGATCATAGCTGTTAAAAAAAGTTGTGCATAAATTGATTTTTTAAAAATAAAACCCCTTTATAGGAAGCTGATCTTGAAGGCAAACAATTATTTTGCATTGATAAAGCAATCTGGACTTTCAGATTTGTTTGCAGGAAGGCCAACATGCATTAACATCTCGCACTCCTAAATTCAAACTTCCACTGCTATTCTAACCATTCTCATTTCTATATAGAGAAAAATGACACAGAACCATCCAAACTTGATTAAAGTCAGTGAAGGACTGGCATATCAGCCTCTGGCTTCCGGAATTTTAGATCAGTGCTTTCTTTAGCAGACTGCCTTTAGTAACGACACAAACATAAAATAAGGCTTTTCAGTTGCTTTCACTAAACCTGCACATTTAGGAGGTGAATACACAGGCAGAGCAAGAGACACCCAATCACGTATTCTTCTGGTTTTCCTTTAGTGTGTTTCAGTCTTAAAGGTAAGAACATGAATCAAACACAATTGATCCAGTCTTGCTCTTCTAAAATATTTTTTGGTCAAATAAATAATGCTTAGGTACAGTGTATATATTCTTACCAATTGCTCCACTAATTTTGTGTTCTTAGCAATGTTATTAATTTTTAATTTTAAAATGTCAAGCAATGGTTATTTTGTAAGCACCGATTAACTTATTGTATTTCTATAATTGTAGTCCTGGCAAGGCTTGCTATGAACTGTATTTTTCCATTCAGTTGTTAGAAAAATAAAAGCCCATCCCCATGATGCCAGAGAACCAAGCAGGCTGGATATTACATGGGTGTTGTGAAGACGGAGAAACAAATCAAGGCAATTGTGCAGCTGTGACAGCCAATAGGGTACCTGAACATCAATCCATAGCTCTCACCAAATGCGTCACTTACAGCAGCTGGCTAAACATTACCGGTGCATGACAGTACCAAATGAGACTTTTACCTTGTGAAGCTGCCACTGAAACAGGAGGCAGCTGCAATGGAGAGAATCCAATGCTCCCATTAAGAAACTGGCTGTTTGCTCCGGAATTGGGGATCTGGACAATGCCATACTGATTAATTTGCACTGGTGTAGTAAAAGTCACGACAGAGCCTCCATCCTGGGAAGCCACTGTTTGAATGCCTTCTCTTTTCACCTCAGTGCTGGGGATCAGTCCGGGAAAAGACACAGGGGCACTGGGGCTGTAGGAGGTGGTGACTGCTGAGTTAGCTGAAGAACTCTGGAGAACTTTGAATTCCTTCACATCCTGGGAGGTGGAACCCAGAATGTCAGTCATGGATATACCATTGCTCACAATGTTTGATGCCATTTTGGGTGGGTTCAATGACACTGTCTGTGTATTTCCCACATTTAATCCATTAAGGATAACTCCATTGGGTCCCTGAATGAAAGAATTACCATTAAGGAAGACAGGTGAAGTACTTGCAGGTACCAAGCTTCCATTCAACAAAACTCCAGAAGAGCTTAGTATTTTAGCATTTCCAATTTGTTGCATATATACTGGCTCCATATGACTGGAAAGGCTGAGGTTGGTGACACCTTCAGATGAACCGGAGAGTGGATGAGGAGACAAATCCTCATGACCCTTGCTGGATTCATCTTCAGTGCTTGGATTACCATCTGACTCACTGTATTGAGGGGGAAATCAAGACATTAAGGTTAGGGGGCTGACATGCTACATAATGCCATATGTTTGCAAAACCAGCTTCTAACCCCACCAAAGGCAGCAATTCAGGAAAAGCACAGCAGGAAATCTTTTAGTCCTGCTTGAACTATAAGGCCTTTCGGCAGATTCTAACCAGACAATCTGGGAAGATGTAAATTTAACTCTTAGTATTTAAAGAATTGTTTTTATAGCATTAAAGTTATTTCTTCCTGTTAAATGTGCCACTATCTATATACCATAGAAAAAACTTATTAAATGATAAGATCAGTCTTTCCTGTTTAGGAACTCCTTCCCCTCCCTTCAAACCAATTCAGATTAGTGTAATTTTGAAGGTAAATGAAACTGCGAAGGGAGCGGGAGAGGGAAAGTGTTCTGTTTTGTTTGCCAGTTAGTTAACAAGTGATCATTTTCTCACCTGCTCCCAAACTGCTACTCCACCAGACTGACTACTCTTTCAACAAAGAGGCTAGCCTTTAGGAAAGGCACTTCGACCAGAGAACTGTTAGGTGCAGTTGCCCTTGAATCCAAAGGAAGCTACAGGGGCCTATTTAACATACGCCATCCAGTGCCCTGGTGAGGTGGGAGGGAAAAGGTGGGTCACTCAGCGGCCCAGTAGCTATAAGACCCCTCCCCTGCACCTTCGGTCCTTCGGTTCCAGACAGGGCTATGTCTGTTCCTCAGCCCCGCCACTTGGGAGGAGTAACAATCCGAGGAAGGAAAGTGGTGGGGTTTCCCATTTGGTCTGAAAGTGGGCGGGGGAGAAATGGTGAGTAGGACACTGGCAGTTTGGAAGCGCGGCGGGACTTGGCCTAGCAGTAGATCCGACAACCCCGCAGTGCCCGGCGGTCGGCTCGCTTTCAAGCCGAGGGGAGGGGATTACCCGGGCTTTGGGCTGCGGGGCTAAGAGCGCAGAAAGCGCTTTGATTTACGAGCTGAGGCTGAGCTGCCGCCGCCGTCTGCGAGGGTGACTCACCGGGGGTGCGGGTGGGAGGTGGATCCGGAGAGGGGCCTAAATCAGGCAACAGGGTCGGGGCCGGAGCGTAGGGTTGCGGGGGGCGGAGGGGGTGTGTGCGTGCGAAGCAGGTAGAATATGGTGGAGAAGATACGGGGAACGCGTCCCGCCTGGGAGCAGAAGCTGCAGGGCAGCTGGCCTGTGCCCCGAGCCGGCTCCTCACCCTCTGCCCCCAGTTCCCTGGATTCTGTCAGGGCCCGGAGTGACGGGATTCTCCGCCTCACACGGGCGCTGGGGGCAGGTGTGGTGGCGGTACCAAAGCGCCTCCTCTGGGTCTCCTGCAGGCCTGCGGAAGGGTGCACGCAGGTAGCAGTGCGCGTTTTGTTTTGGTTACCGCAAGGCCGGGCTCCGGCCAGCGCCTGCCTCCCCGCCTGGGGTTAGGAACGTCGGAGCCGTCGGGTCTCGCTGGAGCGCGGGGACAGGGGCGGGCAGCTGCGGGTTCTGGAATGCGCCGGGTGATCACCTTCGCCCGGCGGGGCAGGCTCCCGGGTTCCCAGATTCCTTCCCCGAGCAGAACCTTAGAGCTGCATTTGGATTCTTTCTCTCCTATCCCCGGAGGGCTTGGAGACACCATCTCTTTAGGCGACCTTCTCCTTACTTTACTTCGCTACCTAACTCGAGAGGACGTACAAAAGAGGTGGAAAACCCGATTATATTTTACCAATTGAGGAAAAAATACCTGCCAGTCAAAAAGTTCAAACCCGCCAGGGTGGGCGCTCTGGAGGTTCGGAGTTGATAGCACCCCCACTCCTCCTTGCTGTCCTGAAGCTAGCCTGCGCTCGCTCCCAACCACCGTACTAGGAGGGAGCCACTCCGGGTTCCCGGGCCCAGGAAGCAGCCCTCCAGCCCCATAACCCCGGCGGCACTGAAATCCGATCCGAAGGAGTTCAGAATCAGGTTTCAAAACACCGCAGAGCCGAGCCGCACCAACACCCCACGTTGCTGCGGCCGCGAAGGGAGCCACGGCGGGCAGAGTGAATGATTAACTCTGTCATATAAAACCTCGACGGCCCAGACCCCCTTCCGCGCCACCAGCCCCTACCAACACTCTCCTCCCTCCAGAGCCGCCAAGGCGATCTCCTGCGTAGACTTGTGCAAGGTGGGGGCGCAGCGGCACCCTGGGGGTCGGGGACGCGCGGGCGCGCGCTGGGCGGGTGCGACCCGGCGGAGGTGCGGACCCAGCCGGCGCTGGCAACCTCCACCAGCTTCCACCGTCAGTGAGAGCGGCCTTTCCCGCGCCTACACACGCTTCTTCGACACCCCCCCCAACCCCCCGAACTGGGAAGAGTGGCAACTTCAAAGCCAGCGGGATGGGGGTGGGAAACAGCGCAGCAGTGACCAGCCGAGGTGGGGGCGGGGACTGAGACCTAGGCGGGCGACGAGAAACTTCTTGGGGGGGAGGGTAAGGAGAGAGGTTCCCCCGCCCCCAGCCACCGCCGCCCCCCTTCCTCGGACGGGGAGAGAGGTGGGGGCGGGGAGAGGTGGGCAGCCGGACCAGGCTGGTGGGGAAGGTAAGCGCCATGTTTGCGAGCGCTAGGAGGAAAAGAAAGCTGGGAAGGGGGTGGGGGAGAGGAAGGGGGAGGAGGAGGAAAGTTGGCGCTCACCTTTTGGACTGGGTCTCGGAGGGGTTCCGATCGCGCTGCCTCCGGTTCTTGAACCAGTTGCTGACCTGGGTGAGGGAGAGGCCGGTGATCTTTGCCAGGTGCCGCTTCTCGGCAGGCGAAGGGTAGCGATTCTGCTTGTAGAGCTCCTTAAGCGCGTTGCGCGACTTCTCCTTGAAACAATACACCGTCTCCTCGCCGTCCCAGATGGTGCGGGGCAGGGGGAATTTCCTGCGGAGCCGGTACTTGTCCACGGCGCCCAGCGGCCGGCCGCGGGCTCGTTCGGCCTCGGTGTAGCGCGCCTTATACCAGAGCTGCTGCAGCAGCGGGTGGTTGGCCGACTCGAAGCTGTGGCTCTCGAGGATGCTGTAGAGCTCGGGGTAGATGCCCTGGTGGAAGGCCACCAGCGCCCGCGCCTTCAGCAAGCTCTCGTTGCCACGTAGCAGGTCGCTCTGGGGCAGGGACCACAGGAACCGGGCCAGGCGGTCCAGGTTGCCCCCCTGCTGCAGCGCCTCGCACACGCAGGCGACATGGTCGGGCGAGAAGGCCAGTGTGGTCTGCGCGGCGGCGGCGGCCGCGGCGTGGTGGTGCCTGCCCAGAAGTTCCGAGTGGAGTTGTACCTGATCCGCTGCCGCTCCAGCCGCCGCCGCTGCCGCCACTGCCCCTTCCTCTCCGCTCACCCTGGCGGCCGCGTCCCCCGGCTCCAGGGTAAAAGGGACTGGAGCCGGGGGGCTCAGCCCAGCCGCCGCGCCCCCCGCCACTTCTCGAGGCGCCTCCTGCCCTTCCGAGGCGCTTTCCATCCCATTCTCCTGCTTGATGTCCGCCGCACTTGCGATCTGCCCGGTGGGGGAGGAAGAGGACATTTTTTGTTGTTTATTTTCCTCCCTCCCTCACTCCCTCGCACTCTTTTCCTCTTTCTTTCCCCCTCTCTTACTCCTCCTTCTTCGTCTCCCTCCCCCCTCCCCCCCTCCGGAAAGCCCACTCCCTCCCTCCCGGTTTCGGCTGGATCTGGCCGATCAGGTTTCCCCCCGGCCACGCAGTCACCATTAAGATAGCTGCTAGAGCAAAGTAGTGTAAAAGGATAGCTGCTTTCTGCTGTTCCCCCAACGTGACTCCCCGGGCTGCTGCATACTATATGGCACTGGCGGCCGGGCCGGCCGGGCCGCGCCACCTCATTGGCTATTTCACATTCAGAGGGAGGAGGAGACACCGTTTCTATCCCTGTCGATCACCCGCCTCCCACTCCACCCCTTGCCTTTCCCTCTCCCCCCTGACCCCCAGGCACCTATACCTGAAGGAGAACACCGACATTCTTTTCAGGCCATGTTCCTGGGCGGGAAATTACCTAATGTGGCCTGAAAACTGGACAACAGACTCTTTCAAAGACAGTCCCTACGATTCCGTAGGGAATATTAATTGTGTGACCTAAAGGTCCGAATGGGAAACTCTCAACAAAGAGAGCCCCCTCAGCATTCAGATGACAGAATTTTAGAGAGGACAACTCAGAAGCTTCCCTATCTCCCTACTCTCCTTTACTCCCCACCCCCTTAACGACTTCTTTATTAAGAGTGTTCAAAAGGGTCAGTAATAGAATGGCACTGGGGAAGCATTTACAGTAAATTAAAATTCCAAAGAGGGAAAAATGCTTGGAACCTTAAAATAAGGGGTATAAATAGCCCAGTGAGAATACAAAAACAAAAAGCCTTCGAAAAAATGTGTTTCATCTAAAGTCACATGAAGGGCTTGAAATCCACCTTCATTGAACTTAAGCATATAGAATATTTAAGCACATTTATCCTGTGTGAGTGGGGCAGAAGAGAACCAAGCATTAGATTTAGATAACAGTATGTAAATGTAAGTCTTCTTTATGAACATTTTTTAAAAATGTAAGTGTATGAATAGTTCTTTGGAGATGATATTCCTGGTAGAAGCACCATCTTGATGTGCAGGTGTCTTGGAGGAGATCAATGCAGGATCAGCAGCTCTTCCCACAGCATAGACAGATGGAAGACTGCCTGCCCTCTGGTTTGAGGTGAAGTGCCTGGGGGTGGAGTTTGCTGCTGTTTGCAGTTATGCCTCTTTCCTTCATGGTTTTTGTAAAAGAGCTCAAAAAAAGGATGAACGCATCTCCGCTTCTCTGATTATTGTGAGTCAGTTGGGTCCACTTGCTGGTCTTTTGCTCAAAATCCAACATTTTAATGACATCATCCTAACCTTTACTTCAGGGTGGCCTTGTGTTGTTTCTGTTTCCCAATTACCCATAACTGCCTACTTCAGCATACTAGAAAGCAGCTGTTTAGGTCACCTGCTATTATGATGAATTTGGTAAGTGTTCTTTTTCATGGACAGGCTGCATTTTATTGCTGGTCAACCGAGATGTCATTTGATTTTGTACTTAATTTACTTTGTACAACCCCAATGAAGCTAGCACTGACCTCTCTGGTAGATTAAAAATTCATAATCATGGAAAAGACCATGTGTTCCTACCCCATTGGAAATACCGAGTTAGATATTGAGCTTCACGACAACATCTGAGATTCATATCTTCCTTGAATTTTTAAAAATATACTTTTTACTTTAGAGTAATTTTGACTTATGGAATATGTACAAAAAGAGTCTAAGGAGTTCCCATATACTATCTCCCCCATTTCCCCTAAAGCTAGCATCTTACATTGTGATTATACATTTATCCAAACAACTTTTGGTGCAATACTATTAACCAAACTCTAGACTTTATTTGGATTCACCAGTTTTTCCATTAATGTCTGTCTCCTGTTCCACGATCTAATCCAGGATGCCACATTGCATTTAGTTCCTTGAATTTTAAAAGCATATTTATCAAAGGAAAGTAGACAGGAGGTAATGTGGTTTAGTAGAAAGGATGTGGACTTGGGGATCAGCTAGCAACATGTAGGTTTAATCCTAGCTCTACCATTTATTAGCTATTTAACTATAAAAAGTGGAGAGGATTGTTGCAAGGATTAAACGAGATAAGATGTGCCAAAAAGCACCCAGGACATAATTAATCTTTGTCAAATGTTTGTTATCTTCCTCCTGATAGCGCAAAGTAGGAAACTTTTCATTGTATATATACCTAAGGGAAATCCACTTGTCTATTATTTAGGGCTATCCAAGTCCAGGTCAGAGAGTCTTCTTCAGGTGTATTATCTATTGAATATAGTGCATTGACTTGAAAAACCATGTATTGGGTTTCTTTGCATGTCCTCTGTATAGGGCCTCCAGAGCACCAAGTTCAATGATTATATAGAAGCAACAGTGAACTTTTGTTGCTGTCTGGAGCCTGAACTAGCTTGGTATTCTATAGCTCCAGGAGGAGATTCCTTTAGGACCAGAATGAAATCCAGCACCAGGTTCTGGATTCTTTAGTGGGCTGAGCCTCAGAGTTCATTCTGGCAGCAATTCAAAGTGGACTGGACGTCCTCAGCTCGAACATGGTCAGCTACAATGGAACACCAGAGTTGAGGTTGTGTAGAGCTAACCTTAGAGCACTGGTTTTGCCAAATTATTTGTAAAATTGATTAATACTTGCTTCTACTTATGTCTGCCATGCTGTAAACATTGGGTCTGCTGTGCTGTAATTTGGGAGAACAGAGTTGAGGCTGAGATTGTATGAGAGTCAAAATCAAGCTGTTTGTTTCTGTATCTTTTCCTTCCTGCCCAAAGACAGAGTAAGGATATATGGGAATGTTTTGCCGTTTTGGTGTACTGAAGAAAATTTGGTCTAGCACAAAATGTTACACTTTGCTTGCATATTTTTAATGGTGTTGCCACCAAGAATGGAGATTTCTTTCTCAAAGCTGACTTTTCCTGTGTGAAAGATAGAGGGAAGGCCATATAACTGTTTCTTGGAAGATTCTTTCTATTTCAGAAAGCTTATGTACAGGTACCATTAAGAAAGTTCTAAAGTTATCTTCCAGGTGGAGAAGGTGTTCCATTGTTATTTAGTGACCAATGGTTGATGATATATAGTCAACATTTCTGAATGATCATTCATTTTCCAAATATTTATTGAGTCCTCATTAACTATAAGGTATTGCATCAGGTACTGAAGGATAAAAAGATGAATATATTGGGATCTCTTATCCTGATGAGTGTAAAAACTTCTGGGAGAGATAAGACATTCGTAAGTAAATACTTTACGGGGTGTGGGAGTGGTGAGGGTAAAGAGATTAATTTTGAGAGGAGGAGGGCAGTCAGGAGTAGGTTTTTAGCTGGGCCTTTAAGGACAAGAATTCTTGAGAGACAAAAGATAGAGCTCACTAGAGGCAGAGGGAACAAAATGAGTAAAACATAGAACCGTGAAGTTACATGGTATATTTCTGAAATATTGAGTAATTCAGTGTGTCTGGAGTTTGGGTTTTATGTAAGTGTGTGGTGGGAGATTAGCTGAAAAGGCATGTGGGGGACAAATCATGAAGGACTTTAAGTGAGGTGCTCAGTTTGCTGTGAGATAGTGCATGGAGTGTTCCTTCTGCAGTGGTCTTGTCTGCGTTATATCATGGCCATGGTTGATAGGTCCAGGGATGGTCACTTGCCCCAAAATAAAAGTCAGAATACTTTTCTGAGGTTTTAAAAACTTGCAGGAGGAGAAGAGTGAAGGCTGGTAGAGGAAGCTTTGAATGTAATGCTTGGGACTTCTCAGTGACCAAACTTCCCCCCTTTGGGGATGCTGATGAACAGTATGTGATAGGGAGGGTGAATTACTGAGTTGCATGGGTAATAGCGTAGGAAAAAGATCCTGACAGAGATGGAATGAGTGTCAGGTTCTAGTGCTTTCTCAGGGGTAGCAGCATTCTTGCCTTTTTGTGGTGCTATGGATTTCCCTAAAGGCCAGAAACCTGACTTGAACTGGCCTAGGTCAAAAGATGAATTTACTGGATCATAATACCAAATAGTATAAAGAGCAGGAATGCAGCTGGTTAGACTTGAAGACCGATTGTTCCATTTCACTTGTCCCTGCCTTTCTCGAGTTAGCTTCAGTCTTTCAAAGGGCTTTCCCCAGAAGGTTTGGAACCACAACTCTCCGGCTCTCCATAGTTGCCAGCTTACATTTTCCGACTTCATTAAAGAGGTGGTGCTGCTTTTCCCTTACTGCCAATGTGAAAAATTCTAGGGAAGAGTTTTGATTGGTCTAGCAAGGGTTGTATGTCAACCCCAAGGCCAGAGGGCCTATTGGTAGGCCCACTGAGACATCCCCAGCCTGTGGGACAGGATCTCTTTTCCATAAGACATTGGTAGGGGAAAGGGAAAGATGATATCTGAATATGCCCTTCAGATGACAAAGTCCAGCATGGGTCCATAGCCCTGGGCCTGGAAAGGAGAGCCTGCATTTGAGAAACACTGCCCGAAAGGGGTAGAACCTACTCTTTATGGAGATGGGAATGCTGGAGGATGAGCAGATTTGGGAAGAGTGGTCCATTATTGGAATGTGTCTGTCTTCAGAAATGTAGGAAGCTTGATAGCTTGGTAGTTTTAACCTAGATTGATGTCCTCTTTGAATTGAAGTCTAGTGCTATCATTGCTTTCCTTCTCAAAGTTTTCTGATCATTCTGTTAGTGAATCCCACCAGTAATAATGTTGTACATTCCAGAGTTTCTGTTACGTACACAGCATTGCACTAAGGCCTTTGTATATGTACATATCATGAAATTTAATCCTTAAAGCAATCTTATGCAGTATATTATATGGAGGAAGGAAAGAGGTAGGGAGAGTAAGAAGTTTGGCTCAAACAAGTCTGTCTGATTTAAAAGAATAGGCTCTTTCCATTACATTACATTGCCTCTTTTAGGTACTATTGCTAATAATACTCATAGTACTATTGATAATGGCTAACAGTTATTGAGCTCTAACTCTGTGCTAAGTACTATAGTAAGTACTTTAAATGAAATATCTCATTTAATCTTTACAAGCGTTATCTTCAACTTTCAGTTGGGAAAACTGAAGCTTAGGTCATGTAGCTAGTAAGCAATGAAGCCCACGCTTGAATCCAGCCAAATCTATAACTTTCTACTGTTTCTAACTCCATGATTATTGTAGTAAGGACTAAAAAATTTATTTGCTCACTGACTATACTCATTCTTCCCTGCTCACCAGAAGTTTCTTGCTCTGTTAAAATATAAAGATTCTGAAAGTTGCTTTTATTTTTAGAGAGCTTCTCTCTGAGTCATGTAACTGGTTTGAATGTGTTCTCTTTCAGTAACCCAATAGCAGCATAACAAGCCTCCAGGTTGGCATATCATTTGATGTTGCCTATTTTAGTTAACTTACGTTTGGTTTGATCTTGTACACGAACAATGTTATGATCAAGCAGATGATGACTTATTTATTAGGTGAATCCCTTATGTCTGCATACTAATACGAAGCTCTGTGCTGCCATGACCTGCTTTGGACTTCTGTTTCTCAGATGTGGTATTCACTTGTTTTTCAGGTTTCCCGTTCATATCCCATGGAAACCCCAAATGTATTTCCACGTTATGGGTTGCCTGCTGTGTTCACTGTTTAAAAAGGTGAGAGTTGGAGTATTGCTTCTTATGTTTTTATTGAAAAGAGCAAAAGTGCTATATAAAGTTTAAATTACTGTGAGTGTATACAGCTGGTGTTCATTGCATGGACTATGAAAGGCTTTGTATTCTGATGGAATTTGGGTCAGATTATAAGATCATGCTTGGCAAAAAATTTTCATGTTATACTACTATTGATAGCCATTCACTCATTTTTCACTTTCTCTATTTATTAAGTATCAACCAATCCTTGCTATGGAGATGAAGAAGATATGTCCCTTACAGTGGAAGTTTGTTATATAATAGAGCTGTTTACAGACTTCACTTTTCCAACCTTGTTAAATGCAGTGAATGTGGCTAACAATTTCCAGAGTCAGGCTCTCAGATTTTAGGATTGCTGAAATCAAGTTTATATTCTCGTAGAGAATATCCCCCCTCCACCCAATATTGTCTTGATGCGGGGAGGGTAAGAGACATTAGAGCCAGGTGACACTGTTAAGCCAGATATAATTGATATTAATATTTTGATATTTAGTGAGAATCTGTCATACTAAGGGTTGATGCAGAGAGTTTCATTCCAGATAACTTTTCCAAACTTTCTATCTGCGAATGCATAGTATTTCTGTGTTTGCATGGCTGTGCAAGTATAAAGGATAAGTATAAAACACAGACTATTAAATTGTTCAAAAGAAAACACTAGTGTGAATTATCAAATATGTACACCAGGCATAAATCTTTGAAACCATGGAAGTGTTTTCATTCAGAACAAGATGGAATCTGTGTTCTTAATTGTGAAACAGTTCCTTGAAAAAAATACAGTTATGTGCACAGAGATGAGGCTTTGTGTACAACCTGCCTTTTGGAAAGCCCTCCCCCCGAAATCCAAGGTATTGCGTTGGCTCACGGAAGCTAAGACCTTACTTCAGCAGCACGACCGGAAACCTCGCGGCCGGAACGTTTGTGCTGCAAGTGCTTCTTCCCCGCCGGTGCTCATTCGCAAAGGGACCGTCTCGGCCGAGAGCCTGTTGGTGGGAACCTGTTTGGCGTCGGTTCTTAGGGGGCTTGGAGGTGACTGGCACTGGTCGGGGAGTCCGTACGAAAGAAGGCGCCATGGACGATCAGGGGTGCCCCCGATGTAAGACCACCAAATACCGGAACCCGTCCTTGAAGCTGATGGTGAATGTGTGCGGACACACTCTGTGAGTCTAGAGACAGTGGATATTATGGGGGTGAAACGCTCAGGGTTCGAGGAGAGAGCCGAAAGATGCTTGGCCTCGGTTCAGAGGAGAAAAGGGCGGCTTTAGTTTCGACAGTGGGAGGAAAAAGGGAAAAGGGAACGTTGTTTCTGTAAACGGACTGTAGCCGCCGCTCTGGCCTTCTTTGGATTGCCGGTTCCCAGATGTGGTCTAGCAGTTTTGTCAGGTTCTCCCCTTCAGAGCCGAAAAATCTTGACTGTATTCCCAGGCTGTGTCGTCCACTGGGGTCCAGTTATATCGCAGGTTAAAAGCGTGGGGGATCGGGAGTGTTAATTTCACGCAAGATAATTTTATTGAAATGAGCGAAAGTGCTGTGATAACAATTACTGTGAGAATATCCTGCTGCCTCTGCGTAAGTTAATTTGAAAACCCCGTCTGTATGCCCACTTGTCCTGATGGAGTTCGGTTAGATTCTCATCACAAAAGTGGAGAACAGTCCAGACTCTAGGCAGTTAATTTTGGAGACATAATGGCTGGCATTTATTGAGGGCACATTATGTGCCACACACACAGTTCTAAGCGCTTTACTATGAATTATCTCTCCTCGTTTACCACAACTAGGTAAATACTAGTGTCTTTCCCATTTCCCAGGGAGGGAAACCGAGACTGCTCAAAGTCCTTTAATAGTGCCAGAATTGGAACACAGAATGTTTTAACTCTGGAATGTCCATTTTTGTAGTTGGGGGCGGGGGTTGAGTAAAGGAGAGAGGTTGTGTTTGTGTATTTTGAAAAATAAGTGCAGGGATTGCTTATAGTGTTTCCTACCACATTTTTATGGTTAGATGTGGCTCACTAAAGGTTATTCTGTAAGTATGGGACGTAAGGTGCTATGTTATGGTGAGCATATTTTGTATTCCTGTAGTTTTCTCTGAGGTTTCTCAGAGATAAACATGACGGATAACCTACAGTGTGGTAGACAAGGTCTTTAGGTAAGCATAAATTGCACAATTATTTGTAGTTATGATGATTTAATGGGTTTTATTAACTTAATTGGTCTCTCTTTTCTGTATTTTATCTAATCTTTATTTTTATTCTTTATCCATGATTGAATGGTTTAAGATTAAAAATAAGGTAAAAGTAATTAAGTAGGATGTGCGAAAAAGGGAAGCAAGGAAAATACTATAGGTTTTTAGAGAGATTTTGTTCAGTTTTTCTTCATTTTCCTGTATCAGGCTTATTACAGTCATGCTCAAGGAAAGGAAGTTTGCTTTTTTTGAAGGATAATAAATGTAATTGACTGGAAGAAATGTTTGCTTAGTTGAAATTAGCCAGTCAGGGAAGATTATGTGATTTCAGTAAAATAAATGACATTTTTAAAGTCAATTATAAAATACCTACTTTTTAATTAGAAATTGCTTTTGTTGTATCCTTAGTCCTTTTTGCTTTCTCATAAGAGTTAAGAATTGTCCTAGGCATTCCAGTTTTGCATTTGTTTTGGTTTATTTGCTAATTTGTTAGATATAGACTATGTTTTATAGTCCTTTTTTTCTTTATTGTTATTCTATTAGTTGTCCCATTTTTTCCCCCTTTGCTCTCTTCCACGCAGCCCATCCCCTGCTCCCACAGTCAGTCCCCACAACGTTGTCCATGTCCGTAGGTCTTTCATACATGTTCTTTGACTAGTTCCTTCCCCTTCTTTCCACCATTGTCCCTTTCCCTACTCCCCTCTGGCCTCTCAGTTTGTTCTATATTTCCATGTCTCTGGTTCTATTTTGCTCAATAGTTTATTTTGTTCATTAGATTCCTCTTATAAGTGAGATCATATGGTATTTGTCTTTCACTGACTGGCTTATTTCACTTAATGTAATATTTTCCATTCCATCCATGCTGTCACAAAAGGTAGGAGTTTCTTCTTTCTTTCTGCTGTATAGTATCCATTGTGTAAATGTACCACAGTTTTTTGATCCACTCATCTACTGATGGGCACCTAGGTTGTTTCCAGCACTTGGCTATTTTAAGTAGCACTGCTTGAACATGGGGGTGCATATGTTTTTTTGAATTGGTGTTTCAGGATTCTTAGGGTATATCCCCAGCAGTTCCATTTTTAATTTTTTGAGGAAATTCCATACTGTTTTCCACAGTGTCTGCACCAGTCTCCATTCCCATGAACAGTGCGCTGGGGTCCCCTTTTCTCCACATCCTTGCCAGCATTTGTTATTTGTTGATTTATTAATGATGGCCATTCTGAGAGGTGTGAGGTGATATCTCATTGTGGTTTTAATTTGCATCCCTCTGATAGCTAATTATGTTTAGCATATTTCCATATGTCTATGGGTCATCCGTATGTCCTCCTTGGAGAAGTGTCTGTTCAGGTCCTTTGCCCATTTTTTTTAATTGAATGATTTGTCTTCCTCGTGTTGAGTCATATGAGTTCTTAATATACAAGGTCTGTCTGGAAAAAGTCCAACCATTGTTAATATAACAAGAATGGTTTGCATGACATTGATATGACTTAGCAGCCAAGAAGAAAGGACTGAAATGCCTGTGTGTGAACAGTGATGACTTCACTGTACCAGTCATTGGGAGTGGTGGAAGATGTTGAGTGAGCATGTGTACTGTGTGGCTGTTGTACTGAAAATGAACAAGTAGAACAATGAGTCTGTATCAGATTTCTTGTTAAGCTTGAACATTCCTCCACAGATACTATTTGGATGATTAAGAGGCCACAGCTATGGGCAACTGGTGATGGCCAGCTTCATCATGATAATGTACCTCCTCACACGTCACGTCTTGTGCACAGTTTTTTGACAAAACATCAGATCACCCAGGTGACTCAACCCTGGTACAGCCCAGATTTGGTGTCTTGCAACTTCTGGGCTTTTCCCAAAACTAAAAGTACCTTTGAAAGGGAAGAGATTTCAGACTGTTGATGAGATTCAGAAAAGTACTATGGGGCAGCTGATGGCAACTGGGAGAACTGTGTGAGGTCCCAAACTTACTTAGAAGGGGACTGAGATGTCGTTGTCCTGTGTACAATGTTTCTTGTATCTTCCTCAATAAATGCCTCTATTTTTCATAGTACATGGCTGGATACTTTCTGGACAGACCATCATATTTTGGAGATTTAACCCTTGTCTGATGTATCATTGGCAAATATGGTTTCCCATACAGTTGGTTCCCTTTTTGTTTTGATAATGGTTTCTTGAGCTGTGTAGAAGCTTTTTAATTTGATGTAGTCCCATTTGTTTACTTTTTCTTTTATTTCCCTTGCCCTAGGAGATATATCGGCAAGAGTATTGCTATGTGGGGTACCTGAAATTTTACTGCCTATGTTTTCCAGTAGGACTTTTATGGTATCATGACTTATATTTAAGTCTTTATTCATTTTGAGTTTATTCTGGTGTATGGTGTAAGTTGGTGGTCTAGTTTCATTCTTTTGCATGAACCAGTCCAGTTCTCCCAACACCATTTATTGAAGAGACTATTTTTACTCCATTGTATGCTTGTCCCCCCTTTGTCAAATATTTTTTCTATTTTATTTTATTTATCTTTTTATTGTTTTTCAGTCTTTGTCAGATATTAATTGACTATAGATACATGGGTTTATTTCTGGGCTCTCTATTTTGTTCCATTGATTTATATGTCTGTTTTTATGCCAGTGCCAGGCTGTTTTGATTACAGTAGCCTTGCAGTATAGTTTAAATCAGATATTGTGATCCTTCCAACTGTATTCTTTTTTCTCAGATTGCTGAGGCTATTTGGGATCTTTTCTTGTTCCATATAAATTTTTGGAGTATTTGTTCTAGATCAGTGAAATATACCATTGATATTTTAGTAGAAATTGCATTGACCTGTATATTGCTTTGGGTAGTATGGGCATTTTAATGATGTTAATTCTTCTAGTCCATGAACACTGTATATGCTTACACTTACTTGTATCTTCCTCGGTTTCTTTCTTCAGTGTTCTAAAGCTTTTCCAGTGCAGGTATTTTACCTCCTTGGGTAAATTTATTCCTATGTACTTTATTTTTCTTGCTGCTATACTAAGTGGGATTTTGCTGCTAGTTTCTTTTTCTGATAGGTCATTGTTATGTACAAAAATGCCATCAGTTTCTGAATATTGACTTTGTATCTTGCCGTTTTGCCAAATTCACTTAATAGGTCGAGTAATTTTTTGGCAGAGACTATAGGGTTTTCTATGTATATTCTCATGTCATTTGCAAATAATGACAGTTTTACTTCCTCCTCTTTAATTCGTATGGCTTTTATTTCTTTTTCTTGCCTGATTGCTGTGGCTAGAACTTCCAATTCTATGTTGAATAACAGCAGGGAAAGCAGATACCCTTGTCTTGTTCCTGAGCTTAAGGGAAAAGCTTTTAGTTTTTGCCTATTGAGTATGATGTTGGCAGTAGGTTTCCTATGTGCGGTCTTTATTATGTTGAGTTATGCTTCCTTTATTCCCACTTTGCTGAGTGTTTTTATCATAAATGGGTTATAGTCCTTTTTTTGACATGAAATATGAACAAATGAGTAAAAGACTAAAGGGTATTTGGCTAAGAGAACAAATTTCTGTTTTAGAATTCTTTGCTCTTGTAGGTTCTGAGGCTTTATTAACTCCTTGTGTTTCATTTTTCTTATCTGTACAGTACAGATAACAGTGCTACCTATATTACGGTATTTGAGAATTAAAAAAGATATGCAAAATATTTGGAGGTGTTTAATAGAGTTTCTATCATATAGTATTTGTTCAGTATATATTGGCTATCATATTATCATTATTATTTATGGATGATATAGGTACTAAGCAAAAATGAAATTAAAACAAGATTTATTTGACCTGCTATGAAAGACTTGCACAATAATGATTACCTTTAAGTGAATGAGACTACAAAATGTGAAAATATAGTTTTAATTTTAATGGCTCTATTATAATTTTCTTAATATGAGCTCATTATCATGTTCTTTCAAGTAAATGGGATTATATGTCTACTTTAAAGGTATAT